AAATACTGTGAATGTTCATAAATAGATAATAATTAATCACCAATTCTCTACAGCCCAGACGTATACACAGAAGACTCAAATTCACCACATTTAAACATGAATAGTTTCTTGACAGTCAAAACAAATATGAATAGTTTCTGCTCATCACAAAATTGAATTTAAACATAATTAGTAACTTCCAGAAAATGAGTCTATTGAACATTAGTACAGCTGTGCATATGAATTGAATATAGATGTTCCTCATAACCTTCAAAGATCAAAGATTTTTCTAATTCTGGTTTTGTACCCAGACTTTTTAGTAGTTTATACATATAAAATCTTAGATACAAATTCAAGTAGAAATCAGTTAATAATTAGATACAAATGTAAACAGAAATTAAAAAGAAAGGAATTTAACCTTCTTTCAAAGGAGATCGAGATAAGTGGAAGAGAAGCTGACCGAATCGACCGAGAGGAAAGAGCGTTGGGGAGATGGTCGACCACGTTCAAATGCGAAAGCCATCGAGGACCGGAGGCTGGATCTATGCGCCCGTCCCTAGAGATGCAGCTGTAGTCGGTGGATCCATGCGCCCCTCCTCGGTGGGCGGCCACGAAATGACTTTTTCTTCACCAGTCTGAAGAGGTTGGCGTGGGGGCAGCGGTAGGGGTGGCGTGGTTAGGGATTCGGCGGGTGGCGGTCTTTGTCTTGTGGCGGCGGCGGGAGGCTGGCGTGGGAGGCAAAGGCGGCGGCGGCATGGGAGGCGGCATGGCAGGCGGCGTGGGGCGGGCACTAAGCATGGGAGGCGGCGGAGGCGTTGGCGTGGGAGGCGCATAACGGGCGTGGGGAGGCAGGCGGCACGCGAGGGGCAGAGAGAGAGAGCAGGTTGGATTGGGTTTCCTTTGCGTGGTCTACAAACCCCGTTCCAAAAGGCTACGACTCCGCGCGTGCATACGGTGAAAAGATCTAAAACCGGAATCTGGCCAAGACTGTATATCCTTTCGCCGACACTTAGACAGTTGGCTTGTTTAGGAAATGCCGACACTTATTCTGTCTAAAAACATTTGCTGACAGTTTCATTGTCCTAAGAGAAATGCCGACAGTTAACCTGTAGCCATACAACATCATTGCCGACAGTTTACGTGACTTTAAAAAGGTTGTACAATTACCAACACATAATGTGTGTCGTGGTGTAGTGAGTATGGCGTTTTCTATCCGTTTTTCTTTTCGAGGGAAAGGTGGGTCTTTCTCGTGCTCAGGCACATATCTCTTCATAAAACCAAAAAAAAACATTTTAAATTACGTGCACCTAGTGACCTAGAACCTGGCGACATGGTGTCTTTATAGCATTTTTAATATACTTTTGGGCACCTTAAAATACAAAAGGAGTATAATTTTTTTTCTTTTCATTTTTGCAAGAAAGGCGGGTCTCTCTCACGCTACGCTTTAATCCATGCATGGTAACTTTGCACGGTACCGGCGCCAGGGTCACACAACTCTTGTGGGAGGATTTTCAGGGTAAAAACAAAACCACGTAGAATGTGTAGATACTTGCCATTGCACTGTCCGCCAAATGAAAAGCGCATTTATCCACGTCGATGTGCGTACAACTATGCTCAAAGTTATCATATTTTCCAAAATTGGATATAGGCACATCCGTTTACAGTGTGTTACACCCTCTAATACATGTATATATTGATTTCCTTGCAAGAAAAAAAAAACTTGATCTTAAAGTGCGACTTATGACCATAAATAAGTGTCATGGAGATGGATTACGACGATGAGAACCAACTAATAATAAATCACACATAGTGTGTAACACTTCATATATATTTGATCGCTATACTCATCGTTGATATGGAAATCTCATTTACAAAGAGGCACACGGTGCATTGTGAAAATAAAAAGGAGTATGGCGTTCTGTTTCCATCTTTTTTGAGGGAAAGGTGGGTCTCTTGTGCTCAGGCACATATCTCTTCACAAAACCAGGAGAAAAAAAACCCTTTTAAGTTACGTGCACCTAGTGACCTAGAACATGGCGATACCAGTGTCTTTATAGCGTTTTTAATACACTTTTGTGCACCTTATAAAATACAAAAGGACTATATTTTTTTGTTTTCATTTTTGCAAGAAAGGCGGGTATCTCTCATGCTCAGACATATCCCTAAGCAAAACGGAAACTTTTAAGTTACTTGCATGCAGAGCATGAAGTTGTTGTGTCTTTCTCATCATTCTGAAATACACTTTTTGTGCAGTGTGAAATATAGGAGTATGTTATTTTTCCTTTTTCTTTTACAGGGAAAGGTAGGTCTCTCCCTCATGTTCAGGGACATATCTCTTCGCAAAACCAGAAAACCGTTTAAGTTACTTGCACTCAAAGCATCTGAGTTACAATGCCTTCTTATCATTCTTACATGTACATTGTGCATCGTAAAATACAAAAGGAGTATATTTTTCCCCTTTTTGTGGGAAAGGTGGATCTCTAACACCCAGGCATATATTGGGAACCAAAACATAAATCCATTTTATATGTTACTTACACATAGAGAACGAAGTTGCATTGTCCTCGTATTATTCATATATACATTTTGTTCACAATGAAAATACTAAAATGTTTTTTTTTCTCTTAGGGTTTCCCTCTTTTTGGAAAGAACAGCCTCTCTCTCACGCACCCTCAGACACATATCCTTTTACAAAATGGAATGACGACCCTTTACGTTATTTGCGCAGAGAGCATGGAGCCACAATGTTTCCATATCATTCTTCTTGCATACACCTATGAGCCGTGGAAAATACAAACACGAAAGGATATGGTTTCTGTTTCTTTTGTTTTTGGTGAGAGATGTGAAAAGATAGTTTCACCACCAAGGATTTTTTTTTAAATAATAGCTAGAAATTTTAGTGTTGTTTCCAAAAACTTGTATTTATAGTCTCAGCAAATATAATTTGGAGGACAGAAGTAAAAAAGGACCCATTTGAAAAAGAAGCATGGACCCACATATATAGAAAATGAGAAAACTAAGTGTACAAATGAAATAAAACTCTGACCGAATACGGAGGAATTTAAACTTGATGAGTCAATGAATGATATATACTAGGACCATGTTTAGTTGCCCACGGAATTGGCGCGGGCCGGATTTTCTGTAGATATTGTAGCGCACTGTAGTATTTCGTTTATATTTGGTAATAATTGTTCAATCGTTGACTAATTATGCTCAAAACATTCGTCTCGCAAAGTACAACCAAACTGTGCAATTAGTTTTTTATTTTGTCAACATTTAGTACTCCATACATGTACCGCAAGTTTGATGTGACGGGGAATCTTCTTTTTCATAGTGCCAAAGTTTGGATTTGAGGTGAACTAAGGCCCTGTTTAGATGCAACCCAAAACCCAAAAATTTTCAAGATTCCTCGTCACATCGAATCTTGCGGCACATGCATAGAGTACTAAATGTAGACGAAAAAAAAACTAATTACATAGTTATCCGAGAAATCGTGAGACGAATCTTTTAAGACTAAATAGTCCATAATTAGATAATTTTTGCTAAATACAAACAAAAATGCTATAATAGCCTAGAACTAAAACTTTTCGAAACTAAACGGGGCCTAAACATGGCCTGTAGGAGTACCAAATAACATGGCCAATGGTCCGTGGATGCATGAAAATGAACAACGGCTAGCATACTGTACTAGAGTCTAGAGCAATCTTCTCCACTCACTTGTGTCTGACCATAATGTGCTCACAATCAGCCTCCCCACTTTTTTTTTCTGAAAACAATGCAAGTCAACATCATTCTGTCCAGCGTGAATGCTAAGATTGTGCTTTTCATTGTTTAGGACCTTGTTTAGATCACCTTCAAATTCTAAGTTTTTTCACTCTCTTTATATTACATTAATTTTTGAACGCATGCATAGAGTATTAAATGTAGATAAAAAAAAAACTAATTATACAGTTTGGTTATAAATCACGAGACGAATCTTTTGAGCCTAGTTAGTCCATGATCGGACAAAGTTTGTCAAATACAAACGAAACGTGCTACAGTGTTCAGATTACAAAAAATTGTAATCTAAACCAGGCCTTAAGAATATATTAATATATTGAAACTCTACATCTGACACATTGCTTCCACGTTTGCTGGTCCGGTTTCTAGAGCAGCCGGCTGGTTACTCCTCACAACGGTACTATTTATCAATCAGTCGCTATAGTATTTCTCTCTCACATAATCAGCCGCTACAGTGTTTTTGTTTCTTTTTTTTCAGACAAGCGAAAGTAGATTATAGCATCTATCTCTCACCCTGTTCGCTGGTTGGTTTCAGCCAGCCCAAACCAGCCAGTCAATAGTATTTTTCTCTCACAACAAACCAGCACCGGCCAGCTCAGAAACCAACCAGTGAACAGGCCATCTGTGTATATGTAAAGTTGGTATTTTTATTGCCTGTGTCACGGAATCAATCAACTTTTAGATTTATCATAAGTCAAGTTATTTTAAATTTAACTACATGATATTATAATTTTTTATAAAATTAATTAAATTTAAGATAATTTGACTTTAGGTGATTCTAGAAATTAATTAATTTATTATGTCCCACAGAGATAATATCTAGGAGCATATAGATTTGCAAATAATAATAATAATAATAATAATAATATTAAAAAAACTAGCCCAGCAGTGGCTTACACGTCGGCCCAAACCCGGTGGCCCCGCCGTTCCAAACCAAATCAATCAGGGGGCAAAACGTGCCCGCGCGGGTCCCACCCTCGCATAAACCCGCCGCTTAGCCTCTCTTCCTTGCTCTGTAACCCACCAGGCCACCACCACCCGTCCGCCAGCCCTCCCCTCCCGGCCTCCCCCCATTAACCCTCCTCTCCTCTCCCTCTCCTCTCTCTCTCCTCTCCCCATCTCCTCCTCCACCGCCACCTCTCCATGCCCGCCGGCGCCAGGCCCGACCGCAACCGCGACCGCGAGGCTTCAGCGCTAGCAGCGTCCAATACCGTCGGCTAGCGGAGAGGTGGCCTGGGGGCATGGCGAAGCCGACGCCGGTGGCCTCGGCAGAGGAGGCGGCCGCGATGCGGCGCCGGCTGAGGCGCCTGGTGGCCGCGGTGGCGGCCGGGAGCGCCGACGCAGAGGCCTTCGACGAGGCGGCCGAGGCGCTCGCTAAGCTCAGGGACGCCGAGCTTGGCCCCAGCAAGGACAACAGGGCAGGCGACGGCTACGGCGACGGCGGGCAGAACAAGCGCCGCACGGAGGCCGCGGTGCCGGAGCACTTCCTTTGCCCCATCTCCTCGGAGATCATGAGGGATCCCGTCGTCCTCGCCTCCGGCCAGGTACTTACCACCTCGACTTCCGCCCTTCGCTTCCCCGTGGCTTTGGGGGGTCGATTAGATTGGATGTGCTCCTTTCAGTCGGTGGATTTTATTTTACTAGCGTTCATTGTCGTTTCTCAACCAAGCTAGTAAGTTTTTAGCCTGCCTTATTAATACGATTTTTTAAGGAAATAATTGAAGTGCGATTTTATTATTTCCTGGTTATAAGTGAAGTGATCGACGGGACGGATTTCGAATTTCCTTTTAGCGCTTATAATTTACCTTCCCTTTCCCGGCGCGAGTGCTTTTGATTGCTCCTCCTCTACTCTCGTGTCCTCGTGCTTCTCCTCTGTGCTAGCGCTGCTGCGACGTCTGAACCTCCACACACACACAATTTTGTGGTGCGCCAGAAGCTTCTGATGATACCGACAGTAGATTTTTTTTTTTCATCCGCTACTTTTTGCTCGTGATTCGCCCGCTCTCCCGTGACGCGATTGCGGCTGCTGAGCAGCGTTTTCAAAAAATTCCGTCTACTAATTTTTTCCTTTTCCTTTTGTTACGGTCAGATTTTTTTTTCTTTTTTGTCGTTTGATTGATTATTCTGAGAACGCGAGGATTACATACAACTCTCTTTCAGTGCTACTGTTGCTTTTGTCGTTCGATTATTGGTGGTTATTCTCCAGGCAAGGGCTAAATAAGTAGACTGTTCTTACTGTATTCTAATTTCCTGTGCTGTTCATAATTATTTAACCTCCTGCTTGCTCTTGTAAAATTACGATTTCTGATTGAATAAATAGAAATGAACCCACATGGCCATTCTTCCTCTTTGCTACGCAACCGCGTGCGACTTATGCTCTCTTTCCAGAGATGACGTTGCGTACTGCAACACGAGACCCGGATTTTATGGCTTGGATTTGGAACGACGATTTATTATTACGTGATCTCAGATGGGTGCTGTCACTCTGACCGTCTTACGCCCCCCATGTTGGACAGTGCATGTGACTCGAGTTATTGACATGTTCACTTGCCGTTCCCTAGTTCTTCGCATGGACAAATCATGAAAAGATTCAGCTTTTATGGCCTTGGAATTTTGTTTGCATCATTCTGTCGGTGTGATGTGAGCACCGCATCAATTGAACGAACCTTTTAGCTATTTTTGGTCCGCTATATTGGTGCCGTGGTACTCGTCCTTGTTTGCTGAGAGACTTCCATTCCCAGCACATATACCTTGATTCTTTCCGGGTTGTTCTTGGTTCTTGTTTCAATTGCTTCACCCCACCAAGTGAAAGTGTTATATCATTGAAAGTTAAAGCCATAAAAGTTCTGGAAGGGAGTGAGTCAACATGTAACTGTATGTATTATGTTGAATTAAAAAGGAAAAGTTTCTTTTATATAAATTTGCACAATGGATGAATTATTCTGTAAAATAATGGATTTAAGAGGGGAATAGAGCTGCTCATAACAAAAGTTAATGTTTGAAGATTCAGTTTTAACTGGTTTTGGATACTAGAGTTCTAACACTTCAATTGCCTGTCCCTTTGGAGATGTGCTGTATCCCATACTAGCTCTGCTGTATTGACTTGGTTCTGCCTTTGTCGGCATGTCCTGTTCAGAATTTATTCCATCATTCAGGGAAAGGAAAAGCATACGAAGTTTTCCTTACAAACGACGTGACAAGTTAATTCAAATTTTAATTAGTCCTGCGCCACCCAGTTGTGTTCAAATAAATACGATTGAGACTTTTGTTTTCAGCGTTCTTGCATGAAAAAGTTGGTATGACACTGCCACTTTTACCTTCAGGAGAAATAGGTTCATTTAGATTCTTCTTGAATAAAATGGTTGGTATACCAGCTTCATTTTCCTGGAGGAGGTCCCATATTCATCACTGTGCCTGAATGACTGATGTGATTTAACTAAATTCTCTTTATAAATAACTCCTACTTTGTGTGGTCCCTAATGTTGACGTTGTGTATTGATGCATTCATAAATCCTCTTGTTTTGCACGAATCCAAAATGGTGTATTGGCTTAACATGATGGTTGAGAAAAGTAACAAATCAGTCAATCTGCTTCATACAACTGTTTGTTTCTCTGTATGCTTACACAAAAGTCATGTAGCTTATGGGTTATTATAAATATGTTTCATAAGTAATTGCTTTCTTTACTGCTGAATTGTCATAAATTCTTTTTGTGGCATAAGCTTGACATAACTATTCTACTCCCTGTGCAGACGTATGATCGTCGTTTCATTCAAGAATGGTTAAGTGCTGGAAACCGGACATGCCCACAGACTCAACAAGTCCTTTCAAATACAATTATCATCCCAAACCACCTTGTGAGAAGCATGATCTCACAGTGGTGCACAGATAATGGGATCAGTCTGCCACCAGTTGAGAACCAAGACGAAGATCTGGTTACAAACAATGAGCGGAAGACATTTAGTAAAATATTTGAGAGGATCGCATCGTCGTCAAACCTGTCTGAGCAGAGGGAAGCCATTAAAGATCTCAGGCTGCTGACTAAGTGCAACAGTTCACTAAGAGCAGCCATAGGAGAGAAACCAGATTCAATCTCACAGATGATTTCCATAGCATCCAACCCAGAGCTAGAAAACAATGCAGAAGTTCTGGAGGATATGGTGACAACTATTCTTAATCTTTCTATTCATGAGAGCAACAAGAAGATTATTGGAGATGACCCATTGGCAATCCGGTTCCTCATAAGGACCTTACAATCAGGAACCATGGAGGCCCGGAGCAATGCTGCAGCTGCCATCTTCAGTTTATCTGCCCTTGACAGCAACAAGGTGAAGATCGGCGAACTAGGCGTGATGAGACCTCTGGTGGATCTCCTTGAACATGGCAGCATGATAGCAAAGAAAGATGCAGCTTCAGCTATATTCAACCTCTGCATGTTGCACGAGAACAAATCAAGGGCCACCAAGAGTGGTGTTATTGACGTGACCCTGAAGGCCATCACCGATGACTCGCTCGTGGACGAGTCTCTGGCCATCCTTGCCCTGCTGTCGGGCGACCATGAGACAGTAGAGGAGATTGGCGAGACTGGTGGCGTGGCCTCCATGCTCCATGTTATAAAGGAAGACCAGTGCAAGCGCAACAAGGAGAATGCAGTTGCGGTGCTCTTCGCGGTCTGTATGTACGACCGCACCAAACTGAGAGAGGTTGCGGAGCACGAGAAGCTGAACGGGTCCCTGGCCTGGCTCACGCAGAATGGCACTTCAAGGGCACGGCGGAAGGCTGCCGGGATCCTTGATAAGATGAAGAGGACCCTGCACCAGCCTCACTACTCCTGCTAGTGCCCCCGCCTACCATGGTTGTGTAATTAGGGGAATAAGGGGGGTGTTGGTTTCTTCGCTGTGTATATTCAGCCCGCATATATAGCTATATACTCTTGTCTTTGGTTTGGTACATATATGAGGTTATACAGTTTTCGTCTCGCAGAGGAAGTGGTGGTTTCCCCTCTGAAACGTTCTTGTTCATCTGAAATTTGCAGTTCACTTGTTTCTTCAGGGTCTTTGCACACGGTCCTGAATCATATCTAGTGCCGTACATGGATTTTTGTCACAGAAATATGGGTGGTGTTTGCTCATGATTTGTGATGTCTTTTTTCTCTTGAGATGAGTCAACATTCTCCGTGCTACAGATGGGTCTCTGAGACGTATGTTTCACGCGTTGTCGAATAAGATACCTAATCTGCTGACTTGTACATATTGGAATCAGATACCTAATCTGCTGACTACATATTGGAAGACTGGAAGTCCCTTTCAGGTCTTTCTCCGGCTTTCGAGATAACCACCGTGTCGGCAGTGGGCACTGGGCTGTCTGGGCTTTGGCTCGTTGGATGAAGTCCCTAAAAATGTTAAGCTCCAGTCAGACGTTAGAGCATCGATAATCTAAGAGCCTTTTTCAAACTTGTTCTCCAAATCATCATTTAGAAGACCATTTAAATAAAAAACGCTTTCTATGTGTCTTTCTATCCTTTAACAGTTTTTCTATAACTTGTGCATACTCTAAAGAGTCACCAATCCTATTATTTATCTTTGGTTACTGAGAAATCTGAGATAAAATACAAGGATATTTAGAGATCTACTAATTAAAGAAATTATTAAAGTTTTTTTTTCACCTAAGAAATCTGAGATAAAATACAAGGATATTTAGAGATCTACTAATTAAAGGAATTATTAAAGTTTTTTTTTCACCTAAGAGCAACTCCAACCGCTTAGCTAAAATTAGTTGCCAAATTCCATTGTTTAGCCATTTTGTAAAATATAGAAAACTTCTGAAAAAAGAAGAGATCTACAACAGCCTTGCTATTTTACAAAGTCATATAGCCTGCGTCTGTGATTGACTATATATGGCCACCTAAATTTATGGGATAGCCAGCTTCCAATTTTATAAAATTATATAACATATCTGTTGGAGCCTGCTTTTTGCTATATAAATTCTAAAATAGCCTCCGTAACAAGAATAACAAGCTGTTAGAGTTGCTCTAAGTATCAATTCCTAACCATCATGAGGATCTTGAAGATTTACTCTTACATTGTAGTGCGTTGTTGGCGTTCATTCATTATTGGATGAAGCCTGTCCATTGCATTTTAGTTTGGTAATGCTACCATTAAGACGTCGCTCCACTCACTGCCGCATGCGCCACTCGCCTAAAAAAACAAAATCAAATCCCCATGGAAGCTCGTCTCCCCCACTCCGCGCTCGTGCGTCACAGCTCCATGGCACCGTGCGGCCATCCGACCGTCCCAATCCGCTGCGCCGCCGCCGCCATGCCCCACGGCGCCCCTATCCCCATGGCACCTCCGTCTCTCACAAAGAGGAGGAATGCTTCAGCGTGAGGTACGCTGCTAGCCGCCCCACCGACTGCAGCTGCCACCGGACTCGATCGTCGGTGCCTCCCTCCTCGCTTCCAAGCTCCATGCGCATGCTCGGCGAGTGCCGCGAAGCCTCCATCCCCTGCCGCAATGCCGTGCTCTGTCCTTCGCCGCGCCCAGGCCAGGCGGCCAGGAGAGGGGGGCGTCACTAGCCTGCCTAGGCCAGGCGCAAGTGCAACTGGACACTGCCAGGCCGCGCCACCATCCTCAGCTGCTAGCTGGCCAGAACCGGCCGTCCCCTGCTTTGCGCTGCGTCGTATGGAAGAAGGGGTGAAAAACTCATGTTGCAAGCGTCTTTCAAGTGTTTCAAATATTTCAGAGGTATCTTACAAGTTTTTCATACGGATGTTGCAAAAATAGAACAGGATGTTGCAAATGTTGCAATAGTTGTACATATGTTTCAAACTCCTATTCTCAATGTTTCATCTGTTTTTTTCCGACGTATGTTGCAAGTGTGTTTATCTGGATGTTGCATATGATTTCACACATATGATGCAAGTGTTTGTCTAGATGTTGCGTATGTTTACAATGGTTTCAAGTGTTTTTCAGGTGTTTTTGTAAGTGTTTCAGATGTATGTTTTATTTGTTTTCAGACGTATGTTGCAACTGTTGCATTTAGATGTTTCAAAACTAGATCGAGTGTTGCATGTCCCTCCTCGCCTTTCCGTTGTCTCGCTTCGGTGTTAGGCGCGGGAAGACAGAGGCGGTCCCCACTAGCGCAGGTGGACCCCACGTGCTTGCGGGTGGACGCAGCAGGAGAGACGTGGGCGGGCAGGCGCGGGACGCGAGACGGGGGGCAGCAGTGCGGGTGTCCGGACGAGGGCTAGCGTCAGGATGTCCGGGCGCTAGCCACGCCTATTATGGTTTGGTTATGTAGCCTACACGCACATGGATTTTTCAAATACATTTTCTTTTATTCAAATTTGTGTTTTCTTTTATACCACCAACACCAACTCAGACGGCCGTAGAGCCAACCCTTCATTAAAAAAAAATACACCAACTCAAACTGCGGGAAGATGGATTCCACAACATGGGTTGCTGTTGCCTGATGGACAAAGGGAGTGCATCGGATGTGAGAGGCTATGGCGGTCCAGTTACATAATACTAGTGATTTTACGACGCGCATGTGCGTGAGTCACTGACCTAGGCAACGGAGAATTCGCAAGGGAAAAGCACCGATAGTGAACGCAATAGGCACTTGCCTGCACCGTTCAGCTAACAGGTAGTCAGCAATAAATTCTAAAACAGCTGCGATCACGTGCGATATGTCAAAACAGCACATATGTATTTTACGCGAGACATAAAGAGTGTTCAAATAGTACTTAGTCTTACACGAGGCAGGCCTACACTGACACGTTAGATGTCTAAGCAGTACATATCTTTTACATAGAACAGTCTTAGGACAGAAGACAAAGGAGGCAAACACTGCGAGATGGCACAACATAGCATACTGCATACAGCAAAAGTCATAATAGCAGATGATAAGATGTAGCCCCTAAGAAAATTGGCATATGCTTGAGAGGTTGCGCTGATCTCCAGTGCCATAGGAGCACAATCCTTAGCACATGTCATAGGAGCACATGGTTAGCTATAATATTTAAGGGAAGTAGTTACTGCTCTTGAGCTTCTCCTGACCTTGGTTATGAAATGTCATTGTATTGAAGCCTTGGGTTCTAGCTGAATATTACCTCTACGCTACTGCTCATAAACTTCTTCAAGGATCTCCCTACCCACGTCGAATTCTTCCGCTGGTATACAAAAGTGAGAAAAAGTGTTCATCGAAGTAAACTGGCAGCGAGAATGGTAAATGACATATAAGATGATTGTTTCTTCTGTCTATAAAAAAAGATGATCATCTGTTCATTACCTGTGCTACCATCGAAGCATTGTTTTTTTATGTCTGTATGTAGGTCTGTTGAATCAGAGTGACCGCAAAGGTGAACCTTAATGAAACTATTTTTGTAATATCCCGTGAAAATGTGCGAGTAGCTATGGCTGCAACCTGTTTTCTATTGATTGTAATTTTCCTGACCTTCAAACTCAAATATGTAAATAGTATATCAACAATAACACATTAGTAATATAGAGGTTACATCTTATTTTGTGTTATTTTCTATTTTGCATAGAGAGTCTAGGTAAGTTATTTTTAGGATGTCATACATTGTGCATTGGCTTAAAATGGTTCAGACCCCAAAACAAGAGTGATTAAAATACCCCAGCTAGAAGCAATGTTTCCACATTATTCTTGGCTTGATATGCTCCTATTAATATCAGTAATTGGATGCCTGATTCTAGGATTCTCCAAAAGTAGTGAAATGACAATTAAATTACTTGGGTAAGTCTTTGCCAGGCTTCAAACAATAACAATATTTAGTTTAGCTTCAACCTCAATATACAACTGGCAAACAGACGTTTACAAAAATAGAAAGCAAATCAATTTGTGGGGCACATTCATAGGACAACACTAAAATGCTAGCGAAACGTATAGAAAGATAGGTTACTGGTGCTTAATTACTCTCAAACTTCAACCTCGCCGAATATAATAGGACATACTCAAAGCATTAGATGATTCAGTGTAAAAAACTACATAGTTGAACATATAATCAGAAATATATTTTATAGACTGGCTATCCATTTGCTTCCTATGCGATAATAACCGTATGACCGGACTGTAATTAACAATAAAAAAGAGCTGGCAAGAAACATTGTTGGTGCTTTCAGTTCTAGACCTTCTTGAACACCAGGCAACATTTAACCTAATTACCCAATATTGTTAATAAAATGTTCATTTTGTTGGCATACATTTAACCCAACATGCTTTATATGCAACACATTGGTTGGTTGTGACAAGAAAAAAAAACATGAACACTGTAAGGTAGCTATCAGTTCAGAGGATATAGAGAAGAAAGGCTGGGACTTAAATAGTTTCTAATAAAATCCAATTTTAGAGAATGCGTAAAGTAATCAGGCGTTGGACCCGAACACTTATGCTTTTTATCTGTCCAATAATCATTCCATTAAGAAATTAAAAAAAGTGTGTGAATGAAACCTAGATTCAAGGAACAATCTGATAGAATATATGATGGGAGGAACCAAACTGTGATTATTGTAGGATAAGAATACATTAGGTACTAAAATTATTGTAGTGGTTTGCGCGCGCCCATGCGCGCCGAACAGAAAGCCGGATTTCTAAACCATGCAAGACGTTCAAATACTACATATATATTACATGAGACATACATAAGCCGGATTTCAAAACCGATATGCAAGGTGTCTAAATAGTACATATATCTTGAGACAGTCCAAGGAAAGAAAGCCAAGGAGGCATAAGGTCAATTAACCACAGTTAACCAGAATTTGCCACAACACAGAGTAAGGAACATAAGGTCAATCCTAAAAGCAGAATCTCTAGACTG